CTTGCTCACCACCCCATCCAGTCAATGCTAACTGCTGCTGTTCACAACTGCTCCAGCTCCCTACCTGTTGTACTTCTGCAAGTCCAGAAAGAAAGGGGTTAGGGAAAGAGCTCTGATGCCCAGGAGATGTTTAAAAGAATGTGCTATCTGCTAACACCTGGGGGGGCAGGGAGCTCAGAAGAAAGCATGCCAAAGTCCCATAATGAAGAAAGAATGCATTACTCCCTTCCAAAAGCACCAGTGCCCAGCAAAGCAAAGCAGCAAATAATTCCGGGTGCAAGTCATCAGCCTCCTGGAAGGCCACAACACTACTCTGTGTTACAAATATGTTCTCCCACAGAACCAGACAGACAGCCGGTTCCTTTGAGAACTGTTTAAACAAAAGCCTTGTGTGACAGAGAGAGTGCCTTGTGATTTTGGCACAGGGCTCTCAGCACTGAGGTTCCTGGTGAGCACTTGGCTGGCTAATGAATCCGCAAGCATCAAAGAGGAGATGATCAAAACCCAAACAGGTCGGAAGATGCTCGGCCCTGATGAAAGTGTGATGAAGTCAGACAGGAATCTCTTCTCACCACAGTCAGGTCACGCACTGTGTCTCACTCAACCCACAAAATGAAGGAAGTATACAGAGCTGGGAATCCCAGGTGACTTTTTGACCTTGTCTCTTGCCAGTTAGTTTAAAATATGTTAGTGTATTTGTTCCTGAATGAAGAAGAAAGTCATCAGGACTGTTTGGCTGAATTTATTCTTTTTGGTGCTTGAAAGACAACTGCATGGTTTCAGAGTCTAGAGAAACTGGTTGGTTGTTTTAGGTTGTGCAAGAAGGCCTCAGTGTCGAGCCAAAAAGAAGCTATTCCAAGTCTCCAGGCTCTCTCTTCCTTATGGGACCTGGAAACCACAAGGAGACAAATGAAATGGAAGGGTTCAGAGGCAGCCCTCAATGCAAGGTCCTTTGCCCATTGGTAGAATGGGAGACACACAATTCTTGGTGCACAGAGGTCCTCTCCTTACAGTGGGGCAATGTCCCAAGAAACCCGTCACAAGTTGATGATATCACAAGTCAAACATGCACTCGATGGCTCTCACCTGGACATTGCAGCTTAGCAACACAGCACATCGTGGAGCACCCGCTGTTTACCCCACTGGGAACTACAGCTCCCGGAAGCTGTCCAGTGGAAGGAGAGAGCAGAGTTCTACAAATCACTAGTCCAGGAAAGAAAATTCAAACTTCTAAGGATGCTTCCAGTTGAATGGGCTTTGCTTTCGCACTGTCACCGTGTCAGAAGTCTTGAATTCAATGACTGAAAGTCATTGTCTGTGGCTGTTACCCCCCACCACACAGGTGATGCTGTGGAGACATAGGGTGTCCTCCAATCACCCAGAGCCATCTGCCTAGAGACTTCAGAGCCAGTGTATGATTAAGAAGACAGGACGCAAGTACCAAGTTCATGGTCAGCAAAGGTACACATAGACAGGAGGGAGGTTTGTGTGAGGACAGAGAGGAATCGCACATGGGGAATAGTCCAGGTGAGAAGGGACTGGCAGAGACAAGGCATTTGAACCCGAACTTGAGCACTGTGGGAACATGGCCAGAAAAGTCAGTCGGAAGTAGCATGAATGCTAATGACCTGAGTGGGGCACAGGCAACAGCCAAGGGTTCAGCCAGGAGTAATTCTGGGCTGATCTTACTGTAACTGTAAAAGACAAGGCAACCTTATCACATCTAGACTGTAAAGCAAAGGCAGCTCATCAAACTAAAATGTCTATAATACAACCAGCTGTGGAGAACTATGAAGTTACAAGTATTTATGAAGGCTGTTGGAGAAACTTCGTTCCTGCACTTTGAAAGTTGCCCCATCAGATTTTCCTTCCTATACCACAAAGAAGCCACTGACATCATTCACTGCTGTGGTCCAATCCCCAGTCTCTTTTCTCACTCTCTTTGTGAGCTTGCATCATACCAACAGCACATCCGAATAAACAACAGGAGAAAGGGCCAACTGAGGGCACTAGGAGGGTGGAAACTGACCCTGCCAGGTCACTTTGCTGCCTATGATGGAAAGGGATCAATACCAGGAAGCAGGGCACAAGGTTGACATCCCAGATCACAGAAACAGGCTGTTAACAGGAACCCAACTCAGGGAGACCCAAGGTGGAGTCCAGCTGTCCAGAGAGCGCAGAAGACTGCAGGGGTTCTGCTAAGAAGCAGAACTTGCCATCTGGGCAGGCACTGAGCACAGGAAAGATGTGTCCTCACAGGGCAGAAAAGTGTAATGTCAGTAAAGACCCTGAGATTGCTGCATTAATGTCACAGCGAGGGGCTCACCACTGACAGTCACCCTTCAACCTCTGAGCCTGACTCTTGCAAACAGGGATATCAGTGACCTCGACTTCATAAAGTGTCTGTAGAGATTAACCAGAATGGAGCATGTTAAGCCCAGTGCCTGACACACCAGTATTTAATGAATGTTCCCTGTTAACCATTGGCTTTGAGAGCATGTTAATCCGGGCTTCTCTCTCTCTGATTAGTGGAAGCTCCAGGCACTGGAAAGTAAGCCAGCAGGAGAGGACTCAGCTGGAAAAGGTACAGAGCTCTCAGTGTCTGTGGTCAGGAGTCAGGCAATTGGGAACAAGATGGAGGAGACTGGATGAGGAAACAACTAATGTGGGGCATACTGGTACACACAGTGATCTCAGCACTCAGGAGGCCGAAGCAGGAGGATCACAAGTTGGAGGCCAGTCTAGGCTACATTATGATTCCCTGTCTCAAAAATGAAGGAGGAGAGGAGGAGGAGCAGGAGCAGGAGGAGGAGGAGGAGGAGCAGGAAGAAGAAAATAAATAGGTAAACAAGTAAATAGGGGCAGTGGCAGGAGAGGAGTGTCACAGCTCGAAGTCAGACTCAAAACTGGATTAGCAGGATCACTGAGCCTCCAGGCCTGGGATGGAGCTCCTTCGGGCCTCCTTCTTGGGTCATGGTTAGTCTCAGAGACCAGGACAGGACTGGTTTGCCAGGTACTGGGAACTACAGAGAAGCCAGTGGAAGGTAGAGCTCAAAGCTAGCAAGCCCCCCACTCTGGGCTGCCTCCTTCTCTACACAGTACACTCTGTTCCACTCACAGTTACCCCACTGATAGGAAAGAGGGGAGACAAAAGATGTCCGGCTTTTTCCCCCCAGGGAAACATGTCACAGGACTTCAGACCAAATTTACAGTAATGAAGCAACCATGAAAACAAGCTTGTGCCAAATCTCTGTCGTCCAGAAAACATTCTGTCTTGGGGACATTGGGGAGTGGCCATCAGGGGCTCCTCTCAAAGTGTGAGTTTACCTGAATCTATGCCCTCAGGAAAGCCTGCCATGTGCTTAAAGTAAAGAGTTGTGAGGCGCTCCCAGGACATAAGCATTTTCCTTAGAGGGGCCTGTATCTTTAGTAGAAGGGTTGGTTGTCAAGGGCCCCAGGCAAATGCTCCAGCATCTCAAGACTTTCCTTAGGAAATGTCAGCCTGCGCCTGTCAAGCCCTCTAGACAGACTTCAGTGCAATTACCTCTGGCACGATGCTATTTCATCCCAATACCATGTATAGCTTTGGTTGAGGTTTAGAAGAAAGCATGCAACCAGCTTGGGACCCAAGAAATGATTATAAAGACCACTCCCTTACACTTCCTAATTTTTTACAATTCCCCGGAACAAAAGTATATTGGTTTTCTGGCTGTTTAACAAGAAACCTTAAGCTATCCTGGCACGGCCTCTGAAAAGTTTTAAGATGAGCTGAAGTCAAGGAAAAACCGATCTGGGTAATTAAAAGACACATAAACAAAAGATCACTTACCAAAATGACTCGAAACCCTTCAGCAAAACCATTGTAAACCACGCTTTGAGGAGAACAAAACGGTAAAATATTATAGTAAGCAAATGCTTTATTGCTCTAAAGCCATCTTGGAGCCGTGGACTTTCCAACTCTGCTTCTATAGTTTCTTATAATCTGTATTATTTTTAGTTTGACAAAAGCCTTAAGGCATCCATCTTTGAAACAAGGATCTGTGCTCCTTAGCTACAGTGTGGGGGCAGGGACGCCATGCCATAAGTTAAAATGGAACTCAGTGAAGGCTTTGGGTTTGTTGTGTACCGTGAACTCCATCCCTCCATCCCTCCATCCCTCCTTTCCCTACTGAGCTGTATTGCTGAGTAGTAAGAAGGGAAGGTCTAAGACAGAGGGAAGTCTATGTAGCACTAGAGAAAAACAAAGTGGTTTTGACAGGAGTTGAACACCACAATCACATAAAGTATCCGAAAAGGGGAGGACACACAGAGCTCATTCCTCCTGTCCACTGGGAGGGCCCTGGGTCCACAGGCCTTCAAAATTTACCTACAGATCCATCTTGGCCCAGGTCACTTTTGGCTTCACTCCACCATTGGACTAAACCTTATAACGGTAACACCAAGGCAGGTCTTGCTTTAAACTAATAGAGAGAAACACCTTCCCAAATCATAAATACAGTGGATGAAGCCAGGAAGGAAAAATCAGCAGTAACAGTGATGCTGAGCTGGGTTAGGGGACTGCGGGTGGGGGTGGGAACAGAACCAACATTCGTGACACTGTAAGCTAAGAGGGGCACCATTACGACGACAGCTTAGTCGTCGGCTCTACTGTTTCATAGTTCTGCTGTTTAACTGGGGAGGAGGGACTAGATCCCTGTACGACCGTAGAAAAGTCCCCCAAAAGTCCCGGTTTCCTCAAGGGTGAGCCATCCCAAGCCCTGCTCGGGAAATGCGAACTCAACAGCTTTCGGCACAATCACAACGTGTGCCAAAATCCTGAACACATGAGTTATAAGCATTCTCCAAATTCCTTATCATGAAGTCAGAACTAAATACAGAAAGTGAAAGCACGGCCAAGTTCAGAGATTCCTGGTTCCTTCATATCACAGAGCCAGACTTCCCAGGCGAAATGCTAACAGTCGCGACTGGCCTGGGATTTTATTTACCCAATGAATACTTACTAAGTAGAACACGGAAGGCACAAGACACTCTCGCTGCCGCCACCCATTCTGCACCCAAACTGAGCAGCCAGCCAATGCGGGAATCTCACAAGTGAGCTGTAGAAACAGGACCCTGCACCAGGGGCCAGGGAGGCTGCTGGGAAGAACGTGCAGGGGTTCCCTGCCAACTCCCTGAAACCTTTCAAGCAGCAGGTGTCGTGTCAGTTTTACAGATGAGGAGACCAAGAATCTTATCCAGTGTCTTGCCCCGGCCAAGTATGTGTGTTTTCGAAGAGTAATTTCTAGCACATTACATCACTGAGCAACTAGGCAGGACAGTTTTTAGTCCCTAGAGCAATAATTTATTGAACGAGACATAAAAGACCGGAAAAAGCCTGTGCTGTTTTCAAAAGTTCCCAAGTTAATCTCAGGGACTCTTTAAGCACTAAAGGAATCTGATTCGATAATTTTCAGACTCTATTTTCATATTTCCATTTAAATCCTCAAAATTATGAGCCTGCTTAACCTCCCTTTGGAGAAATCTCCGAGACTGGGCCTCCTTATCTGAAGATCTTTCCCGTTACTACAAACTGCAGTTGACTTTCACCTTTGCGAAGGCTAACATCATGAGAAATCTTGAATGCTCAGGCTTGCAGAAAATTCAGCAGCATATAATTTTCTCTATAAAAGGTAGTCTTTCATTCACTCCTTCATTAAGAAGCATTTGATTGACAGCCTGCTACATAAGCCAGGCAATAAAATATAACTAACCTATTTAAGCGACCCCATTGGAGCAGAACAACAGCTGTGTTGTCTTAGAAACCAAATGGTCAGCCTAGGCTCCCGCACCTGGAAAGTGATTCATCTCAGTGCATCAACACCCCTGCACAGGAATCAATCCCATTTCAGCAAAATGATAAATCTATGCCATGGGTTTTAGGTGATTGGTATGTAATTGAAACCACAGTGTCAGATCTCTAAATGTTAAGGTTCTTTTCCTCGAGGGCAAAGACATGGAATCCAGTGCCATGTGCTGTGTCTCACTGGGTGGTCACTAGAACTTCTTGTGTCTTAACCTCCTCATCAGAAAGACTAAGGAAAAAGTAGATTGCCTCTGAGTTCTCTCAGCTCAAAATACTGAATCTATGTTGTTTCAGGGTAGCTGTAGAATTATGCATTTTAATCTTAGTGGGATTTGTTTGTTATAGGTAATATTCACATAATCATTTCATTTTCATAAAAAATTCTCTTCAGGAATTAAAATCCTTTATATTACAATGATAAGATCTACAGAGCAAACACTTATGATTCTATATAATGGAGAAATAAAAGCTGCAGCAGCTGTTACCAGTCAACAAAACACGTCACCGTTCCTAAGAAGCATGAGCTACTCAGTTCTTCAAGCCACACAACTGCAAAAACTTTTAAAACCACCTGACATTGGGGCTGGGGAGATGGCTCAGTGGGTAAAAACACTTACCACGCAAGTGTGAGGACCAGAATTTGGATGCTGAGAACCCATGGAAGTGCGGGGTAGGCATGGCAGTCCACCTGTCATTCTAGGGCTTGAGCGGTAGAGACCAAAGTTCCCTGGAGCAAGCTGACTAGGAGACAAAGCAAATTGGAGAGCTTTATATTCAAGTCAGAGACCCTGCCTCCTTATATAGGGTGGAGTATTTACGTGGAAAACACTCAACATCAGCATGCACCCTCACAAACATGCACCCACATACATGTGCATGTGGATACACACACATATCACACACACACACACACACACACACACACACACGCAACAAATACCCTGGCCTCTTAACCACAGTGTAATCAGATGTCTCTCCCATTGCTAGTAACTGCTTGGAAGTGTATGCGAAATCTAATTCTAGACCATGGTTTTCCAAAGTGGGCCCCAGGAGGGCCTGTGCAGGTCAACTCCCTGCTCTGTGGTGCCTGTTTGAGTTTGTATACGATGGTGATAAAACTGTTGCTAGAGATTAGCATTCAGTGGCTGTGCGCACTACATCTGCACAGCTGTATGTGGTCCAAGCTTCCCAGCACCATGGATTAGGAGGCAGGATGTTTCACGTGGCAGGACATTCAGGCACAAACACCACCGCCACACCCAAGGGTTATGTTAAAGCATTGGTGGCAAACTGGGTGCAGCTCACAGGCAGGAACTTCATATCATTCTCTGTGTAAGCTGTGGTCTGGATGTGTTTTGCCCCCCAAGGACTTGTATGTTTGAAGCTTGGTCCTTAGTGTGCTAATGTTGGGAGGTAGTATGGAATGTTTTAAGAGATAAGGCCTGGGGCAAGATGATCATCAGGCCATGGGGGCACGGTTACCACCAGAAATAAGTGTGCACTTCCCTTAGGATCTCAGTTCCTAAAGAATTGGTTGCTATTAAAGAGTAATCCTGGCTACTCTCTATTCAGTGGCTTCTGTCTCACTGAGCAATCTCTCCCTCTCTCATGGGGGATGCACCATGCACCCCCCCATGATGTCATCTGCTGTGGTGTGAGGCAAGCACCCGGCCCTCACCATAACCAATTTACATCCTTTAGCCTTCAAACCTGTAGGCAAATAAACCTCTTGTTACAAGTTATCCAACCTCAGTAATGGAAGTTGTAGTCATGGAAACAGGCAGTGATGCGAAATAGGTGAAAACACTTGCACAGGGCTATGCAAGATTTTGAAAAGCAGGACTTCTTGCCTCATTTGAATTAGATTAGGCAACATAAGACCCAGGCTTCAACATGCCAGAAATGACACTCCCGCGTTACTCCTTAAAATATTGTCCTCATCATAATTTAAGATTTCAACACTTTTTATTACGATGAGGCAACTTACCTTGAGATCTACCTTTTCAGGGAACAATGAAATACGACATCCTCTACTGACGCTGGCTACAGGGACACAGCAGAGCTCAGCGCCTTCTTCCTGACTGAGACTTAGATTGTTAACTCTCTCTTCCTTCCTCTCCCCAGCACTGTTCCTTTCTTTGATTCTAGAAACTGACCGTTTCTAAGCCTGCCATCTAATTGAAACCATATAACACTTGCTCTGCTGTGTCTGGCTCAAAACTCTTGCCATAATCTGCAAGGTTCATTCGGGGTGCCCCACGAGGCAGTACCTGGGTTTTAAGGCTGATTCATATTCCATGTCTGTACATACCATGCTTTCTTTATCCATTCATCTGTTGATGGGCCTTTAAATTGACCTCACGATCTTGCTGTGGCCGACTTATTTCAAATTTGGAGAAATAAAATGGAACTACTACCCTATTTCTCATTTGTGGAGAAGACTCCATAATTTCCATGGCAGTGCATCACTGTTGATTCCCAGCACTCGGGAGGCAGAGGCAGGGAGATCTCTGTGAGTTGAAGGCCAGCCTGTCTACATAGTGAGTTCCAGGACAGCTGGGGCTACAGGGAGACTCTGTCTGAAAAAGACCAAAAAAATATTTTTAATAATCATTTACAAAGAAAGCTGAGGGGGGCTGGAGAGATGGCTCAGCGGTTAAGAACACTAGTTGTTCTTGCAGAAGACCAGGGTTCATACCCCAGCACCTACATGGCAGCTAATAACTGTCTGCAACTCCAGTTCCAGGGGATATGATGGCCTCTTCTGTCCTCCACAGGTATTGCACAACACAGGTACACTTACCTACATGCAGGCAATACACGCATACACATAAAATAAAAATACTAAATAAAATATTTTTTTAAAAAAAAAAAGAAAGAAAGAAAGCTGAATGCATCACCCAGGTGAACTCAGGGGAGGCTTTTTATCATGGGTGGCTGGTAGCCTGGACCTGGCCTGAATAAGGAATGAGAATGCACTATCTGTGCTAAACTGACCGATTACAGCACCAGTTGGGGGGACTGCATGTCCCTGTGTAGCACTTTGTTTCACTTCTGGAAACAATGTCAAGTTCAACATATTTCAGCTTGCAGCTGAGGTGAGAGGCTCCTTGGCCACTCTGGCATCAATGTCAGTGACCTGCTCCCCCAATATGCCGTGTAGTAAATAGCCTAGGTACGACAGTCAGGACAGTACATTTTCATTAGCCCAATAACCTCCTTCAGCATTGAAAGCTCTCCAGAAAACTCAAGTTTCAGAGCCATGTTGGTGACAATAGAGGCCAGAGGGTTTTAGATGATATTTGTCATCAGCTACTGACAACAAACAGCATCTACCCGCATTATGGAAAATTTTAAAAAGTGTTCCAAGCACTGTCTCCTCAGCTACAAGGAAGCCCACTTGATCCCCAAGTTCTACAGATTTGTTTCATTAATGGGCTTCCACACCCCATAGCCTAGTGCAAGCAAGCACACATGTGTACATGGGCACAAGTGCACACACCCAAACGTTAAACAGATAACACAGAAATGGGGCATCGTTACTCTGCTCAAGGCTTTCCAGCCAAGAAGATTCAAGAAAAAAAAAAAAAAAAAAAGATAATTTCACGCAGTCTAAACCAACAATTCAAGTCTGAATGAAAAAAAATCTCCATATGTACAAACAACATTCAACTGAAACATATCTCTCCAGAACCCACTTTCCTCATCAATAAACAAATAGCACCAGTGAATCTCAAAAGCTGAGCCCCCACTTCCTGACTCCTTTCCATCAGCCAGACACTGGGGACTCAGAACCCCCCAGCACTGAATGATCTCCACAGCTCCTTCTGGCTTAGCCCACTCTAAATCTGTAAGCTACATTTGTTCGTGATTTGTACTCCACCCAGCAGAGTATGTTATGGTCATTCTGTAGCTGTTGTGGCCAGGTATCGGCAGGAGGCTTTGGATGTTTTCTTCTGGAAGGTCTTCACATGGTCAAGGTCTTGCTTGACAGAAGACAACTTCAACTCAGTTATTGTTGTGCCAAAAGCAGCGGGTCACAAACCTGTCCATCAGGGGACAAAGAACACGGGGTAGAATCCTCAGAGGACAAAGACGGGGGACCAGAGAGCCCAGGCAGAATGGATCACAGGAGGCAGAGCGCCACGCACAATATCCCTTATCAAACCTTTTTGTCTTTATCCACCACTCTCACCGTTTTCTGTGAAAGCTGGGCACTGTAAGAAGGGTCCACAGCTCCTGCTTGAGGGTCTAGACCCACGAGCTGGCC